CAGTCCTGCCCTCCCAGCGCCCGCCCCCGCGCCGCGGCCGCCGCCCGCCCAGTCGCCGCCCTACAGCCAATCAGCGTGCTCGGACACGCCCCCTTTCTTAGCCGGCGCGTCTGGCAGTCCAATCACCGGCCGGCCGCTGTTACGTCACGCGACCTTTGTGCCCCTCCCCCTCTGATCAGCAAGGATGGGCGGGGCCGAGGGGCAGAGCCACGGGCGGTAGAAACAGAACCGAGCGGTCCCGGCGGCTGGGACGTGCGAGCCGGAGCGGGTCACGGCCGTTCTATGTGTCCTGCGTGTGCTGAGTCCGTAGTGGCTGTCGGGCACTCACCTTTGAGGCTGGTATATTCGCTTAGCCCTTCAGTAGCTGTATTCTGAGCACTTACTATGTGCTAGGCGTTATGCTGCAGGCGGTACCGGCTCCGTGTTTTTCTGGATCTGCAGACCGAGAAAAAGTGTCCTGAAGGAAAGGCTCGGGGGTTCTCTACGAGTCTGTAGCAAAGGGACATGACCTAATTAGAGAGTCTGGAAAGATTTTCCTTGGAAGTGATGATTACGCTGCAAGAGAAGGCCGGCAAGGGTCAGGGGGACCGCGAGCGCCGAGGGCTGGAGGTGGGATGGCGCACAGGCCATTGGCGCGCGAAGAAAACCTGCGTAACTGGCCGGCAGAGTTGGGGGAGGGCTTTATTTTGGACTTCATTCTAGGAACACTGGAAAGCAAGTTTTAAGCTTGAGCAGATGGGTGTTAAATGGTCACTCTAGTGTTATGTTTCTAGCATCAAAATCATCCTGTTGGAGCATCATTGCCCAGGTGCTTCCTGCCCAGGTTATACTTTTCTTTTTTCCCCCCAGAACAAAGGCGTGTGCACTCCATAGAGAAAGGGGGGGGGTAGTGGGAAATCACCGTGGGGGTGGGGGCGGCCTCATCGCTATCGCTTCTCCTCTATTTTCCTGGGATTTACACGCACACACGCACACAACATGTTTTTCAAGCCATCGGGTCTAGGACTCGAGCCAGGCACTCAATCATGTGGGATCCAGCATTTTAACCACCATGCCACCTGCAGGCCCTGCTTTCCTTTAATAGCAAGTAGAAAGTGAAACCTTAATCCAACATGCTGCAAGGTCTGTGTTTTACTCACTTATCCAACTTTCTGTCATTCCTGAGGAGGACAGGGATGATGATCTGTTTTAGGCACTGCCATCTGTATTCCCAGGGCTTAGCGTTCCAGGCGGTTGTGCGGGAGGTTTGCAGTACATATCTGAGATTGACTAAAGATTTTAGAATACTCAATCATCTCCTTTGAATCAGCAGAGATTAATGCCTATCCTTCCTACCCAAAGGAAATGAAAGCAGATGCTCAAACAAAAACGTGTACCTGAAGGTTCAAAGCAGCCCAATTCAGAATAGCCAAAAGCTCAAACATCCATCAATTGGATGGCTAAATAAAGTGTGGCCCCATGGTTGATTATTTGGCCGTAAGGAGAAATGAAGTACTGTTATGAACGATAGCATGGACGGCCCTTGGAAACATTGTGCTAGGTGAAAGAAGCTACATACAAGAGACCACAGAGGGTAGATTCCATTCATGTGAAATAAATAAATCCTAGAGCAGAAAGCAGATGAGTGGTTTCCCTGGGTGGGAGAAGGGGGTGTTGGAGAATAACCGCTTAATGGGCATGGGATTTCCTTTGGAGATACTGAAACTGTTAGGAACCTCTTAATAGATAGTAGCATGGTAAGTGGAGGGAGAAGTGGCATTGAGGTGGGAGACCTTGTTGAGGATGCTTATGTTTGTTTTCCCAGGGTGCCTGGGCTCATGGAGAGAGATGGGGGAAGGGGCTATGACCACACCATAATCCCTTTTGGAAACTGGAATTCTAGGCACACATGCACAGGAGCCTGGCGTGTTTTTCAAGCCACCAAGTCAAGAACTCAACTGCAAAGTCAGCCATGTGGGATCCAGTGCCTTAACCACCATGCCACCTGATCTGAGGATGGTTATCTTTCTTTATCTGTGTCTCTCTCATGAAAGAAACATTTTTTAAAATGAAAAATAGTAAGTTTATAGTAAATTTTATGCATATTTTAACACAATTTTTTTTAAAAAGCACATACTTTGGAGTCAGGCCAAGATTTGATTCTGACTCTGTCACTCATGAGTTTTGTGACCTTGGACACATTTTTCTCCTGTTTTTCTTTCCAGCATAGCTAACCACTGAGAATTCTTAAGGCACGCTCCTTACGTCTGTGGGGTTTTCCCACCTATGAAATGGAGACCATAATGGTCCCTACCTCCAAGGGTTATCGCGAGGACTGGATGAGAGAGTGCCCATGAAGCATTCAGCCCAGTGCCTGGCACAGGGTACAACCTGAGTAAAAGCCGTGGTTGTTACCAGTTTAGTTAATATTGTCATCATCATCATTTTGTTTTTGTTTAGAGAGATTTTTGCTATAGGGCACATGCACTCACCAGAGACAGAGAAAAAGTGAGAATTCATCCCCTGGGGGATGACCACACTGCCATCCCTTCTCCTCTCAGGATTTTGGGTACCCATGCTCTCACACCCAGCATGAGCCTCAAGGCTCCAGGTCCAGGACTCAAACCGCAATCTGCCATGTGGGAGTCCAGCCCTAACCACTACTCCACCTGCTGGCCCCCATCATCAATTTGAATCAGATGAAAGAGCAGATGAAATCCTGTGGGTCCCTCTCGTCATGGGGTCTGTGACACTTCCAGAGATTCATCATGCTCCAGAACCACCGCACGAACCAGAGACCACACATTTAGAAGCACTGCTACAACTGTCTCTGATGTCGTAAAGCTGCCCACCACCAAACCACAGCCCTGAGGACCAGAGCCGCTTGAGACAAGGGCCTGCTGTCTTCCTGGAGTTAACTGCTCCACCGTTTTCCTCCCACTTTCCGGCATAGCTAACCACTAAGATTCTTAAGACAAGTCCTGTGAGCACCGCACTGTAATTCCCAAACCACAGATGCCCACAACACATGGAAGTGAACCTTTTCTGGTTGTTTCAGGATGAAGAGTAACTTTAGAATCACTGGAGAAGAGTCGAGTAGTCTCTGGTTGGCGTTAACTGGGCATGGGGTTCATGTGAAGCTACAGACTTTTCTGATGGTAACTTACTGTTCTTTTGTTTGTTTGTTTTAGGTTTTTTGCCATAGGATGCATGTGCTCACTTGAAAGAGACAGAGAGAGGAGAAGGGAGAAATCATTCTCCCAGCGGGGAATGACCATGCTGCAATCTCTTTTCCTCCATTCTGTCAGGTTTTGGGGCACACCTGCACACACACCCAGCATGGTTTTCAAGCAGTCAAGTCCAGAGAGCAGACTGCAGTTGGCCACGTGTGAGTCCAGCACCTTAACCACCATGCCACCTGCTGTCCCCACTGACAGTAATTCATTAAACAGTTTTATATTTCATTGGCCACTTTCTGCTGGGAGATTGCATCATTAAATGTATTTCTAAAGTATAGTTCTACTGCATTAGTGGGAGTTAATTTCAACATTTGTGTTTATGTTGTCAGTTTGATAGACTGATCTTTATTTTTTAGAGAGATTTTTGCTATAGGGTACATGCGCTTGCTGAAGAGACAGAGATAGAGAGACAAAAAGCAAGAAATCACCCCCCTCCCATGCTGCAATCCCTTCTCCGTTTTCCTCTCAGGATTTTGAGCACACATGCACCCTGCATGAGTTTTAAGCCGCTGGGTCTGGGATTCAAACCACAATCGACCATGTGGGAGTCCAGCAACATAACCATTATGCCATCTGCTAGTCCCAGACTGATCTTTCTAGTAATCCAAGATGTGAAAACAATCTTTGGTAGTTATAATACCAAACAAATACACACACACGTACTCCATAAAATAATAAAACACTCCTAAAAAGCAGGAAAGTGTGGATGCTGAATACTACTACCAGACTTTCCATGGTCATTATTATTATTATTACTATTATTTTAGAGATTTTTGCTCTAGGGTACATGCACTTACTGGAAAGACAGAGAGACAGGAAAGCAAGAAATCACCCCCCTCCCCAGGAGGGATGGCTACACCACAATCCCTTCTCCTCTTGGGATTTTGGGCACCCACACACACACACACACACACACACACACACGTGTGCCTGGTGTAAGTTTCAAGCCACCAGGTCCAGGACTCAAACATGGTCAGCCATGTAGGAGTCCAGCAACATAACCATTGCACCATCTGCTGGTCCCAGTTATTGTTATTATTTTTTTTTTTAAGAGAGACTTTTGCCGTAGGGCGCCTGTGCTTGCCAGAGAGAGAGAGAGAGAAAGTGAGAAATCACCCCCCAGGGGGATGACCATACCGCAATCCCTTCTCCTCCATTCTCCTCTCAGGATTTTGGGCACCCACACACATGCACCTAGTGTGAGTTTTAAGGCACTGGGTCCAGAACTTGAACTGTGCGGTCAACTACATGGGAGTCCAGTGATGTAACCACTGCGCCATTCTACTGGTCCCAGTAATTTTTAAAAATATTTATTTGTTTATTTATTTTAATTTGACCAGAGAAAGACACAGAGAGAGAGAGAGAGACTAAAAGTGAGAAAGCAAGTCCCTAGGTCTGAGACTCGAACCATGGTCAGCCAGGTAGAGTGTCTAGCACCTTAACCACCATGCCACCTGCTGGCCCCTATTATTATTATTAAGACAAGATTTGTCTGTCACGATCCTC